ACACACACACACACACACACACACACACACACACACACACACACACACAGTTGTTAGAAAACACAAACAGTATTATCATTGCATATATCAGTCACACAGCATCAGTGCCAGAGGTTACAGTGGCACTTGCTGGTTGGAGGCAGTTGTGTATTCTTAACTTGCCTGTGTGGGTTCTCTCAGGCTTCCTGCCACATTCGAAGGACATGTTTGTTAGCTTAATTGGTGATTCTGGCCATAGCTGTGAATGTGCATGTGAATTGTTGTCTTCTGAGAGACTAACAACCTGTCCAGGGTTTGCCCCACATCTCTCCTAATGACAGCTTGGACTTTACAACAATTTTAAGAAACTTGTACATAAACCAATATACCAAGAAATGAGGGCTGGCTTAAGACACAGTACTGTATTTAGGCTTAAAGTCAACAGACATTTGAAATTTTGGTTGTATTTTCTATTACAGCTCAGTAATAAAGTGGGAAGGGTAACAAGGCAAAGACAAGAACGTAACGTGGTCATTTCTAAGTCATTAGGACTCAATTACCAAAGTAACAAGCACTTAATATCCAAGTAGTATCATGGTAACAACTGTGGTTACAGTTGAGTAATACCACACTGAAATGTATGTAACTGGATAATAAGTGTCCAAACACTGGGGATAATAATGTGGAAACACACCTCAGTGTAACACAAATGCTGTGGTACAAAACAAGCCAGGACAAATATCATAGATATCATCGCCCACCTGAGATTGGGGACCAAGCCCCAAGTACACCAAGATTGGGTACCTATCTTTCATTAACTGACCTGAAAGACTGTGTACTATGTAGGTGTGATGATCTATGATGATGTAGGTGTTAAAAGGTACAATAACACACACAGAAATACAGACACTCTCCAGACGTACTTACAGGTAGTTGGCTAAGTTGTGCTCCTGTAGAGTGTGCGTTTCAAAGCCGTGTGGCACGGTGTCAAAGTAGTCATTACCTATTCCACAGATAAAACATTTGGTCTGCAAGAGAAACACGTGATAGTTAGGTGGTTGTCATTTATTGTAACCTATTGGCAATCTTCATCTATGCCTCTGTTGGAGGTACAGCTATACAAAACAAAAGAACCACAAAATCTATATTTTTACATGTTCATATGCCTGAATTTAAAAAAAACTGCATTGAACTGTTGTGTGTGTTTTCACCTCCATGTCTTCTTTCACTTGTTCCTGCTGATCCCTCAGCTCTCCAAAAGCATCAATGATTAACCCTAGAATTTCAGAGAGGGTGGAGCTTAACATGCTGGTCCACATTATTAGACTGAATACAACAATAGATATGAAAACCACAGGCTATCTACTATATCTACTATAATACTTCTAAAGGAGTCTTTTTTGCTATTCAGTTACATTCTCTATATTACGTCCAAAGTGTGTATGTCCCTATAGGGAAGGATATAAACACTAAAGACAAAGCCTACACAGATGCAAAATCCTGAATGTTCCAGGACCCATCATATTTTAAAAGCCTCATAATATCATATTAATCCAACTGAGCACTGTAGTGTCAGAATGTAAGCCAACGCTTGGTTTGTTTCCAAAAGTAGAATGGGAGGTAGAGCCCTCAGCTCTAACCAACTCTTCTCCAATGAAACCAGCTTCCAGTCTGGGTTCCTGAGACAGACACCCTACTTTTACGATTAGGCCCCAAACTTTTGTTTTTGACAAGCTTAGTTATCATCATTGTCAATATGTGTGGCAGAGGGAAATAATTATTTGGTCCCTACTCAGTTTCTACTACCACTAACGTTTCTCACTGGAAAAGAAATGAACAGTCTCTAAGTTTTATGGTAGTTACATTTTAATGGAGAGAGAAAGAATATACACCTAAAATCTAAAATTTCATTGAAGTTATGGATTGAATTGCATATCACTGAGTGAAACAGATGTTTAATCCCCAACCAAAATATGACTTTGCACTTGGTGAAGAAACCCTTGTTGGCACACACAGTGGTAAGGCATTTCTTTTAGGTGATCACCAGGTTTGCACATCTTACGAGTGATTTTGGCCCACCCCTCTTTACAGAAATTCTTCAGATTACTTGGCTCCTTCTTGGCAATTCAAAGCCTCCACAGATTTCTGTAGTCTATTGATACTAGATAGTGGAAAAGGGGTGGGATTAAATAAGCTTATGCTTCTTCCTGCTCCTTTTTGAACATGAAAGTTATTTGGAGTTGTGGTTGCTCGTTTTCCTTTTGTTTTGCTTTGTTCATTTGTCTCTTTTAATTCTATTTTGTTGTACTTTTTCAACATGTTCAAAATAAAGATTCAATCAATCAATCAATCAATCTTCTATTAGACTGAGCTCTGCAGACTGGCTCGGCCACTCCATGGAAGGCAGCACAACTAATGTGCTGCTTCTTCTTCCACCACTGGTTCGTTGCCTTGGTGGTATATTTTAGTTCACTTTCATGCAAGAAGACCCATCCAAACCCATCTTAGGTGTTCTGATTGAGAGTTTACAGTACAGTACACCCTCTTCTGTGGAACCAGCTTCCAGTTTGGATTCAGGAGACAGACACTATCTCTACTTTTAAGATTAGGCTTCAAACTTTCCTGTTTGATAAAGCATATAGTTAGTGCTGGACCAGGTGACCCTGAATCCTCCCTTAGTTACCGTGTTGCACTGTTTCTTCTTTAGTGACCTTTTTCTCTCACTTTGTGAGAAAAAGTTTTTTTATGGGAAGAGGAGGATTTTAAATTCAGTTCTGAACTTAACAGGGAGCCAATGAAGAGACGTTAGTATGGCAGAAATACAATATATCTAGTTCCTGTCAGGACTCTTGCTGCAGCATTGTGGATTAACTGAAGGCTTTTCAGGGAGTTTTTAGGACATCCGAAATAATGAATTACAGTAGTCCAGCCTAGAAGTAATAAATGCACGAAATAGGTTTTCAGCGTCACTCTGTGACAGAATATTTCTAGTTTTAGAGATGTTGTGCAAAGAAAGCAGTCCTATATTTTGTTTAGTATGCACATATCCTTTCCCCAGAGTTCGTATCTGGTTAGGCACTATGTTTCATTGAAGTTTTTAAGGCCAAGTACAATAAGCTCAGTTTTATCTGAATTTACAAGCAGGAAACTGTTTAAGGTGGTGTTCAAGTGTACTCCACTTTGGAGAGACGTCGCGATTATTTAGTCTAGTCAATTTGAAATAAACAGAACAACCAAAATATTGGAAACCAAACAGAACCAGAAATGATTGCTCTCAAAATAATTATACATTTGAATCAGCACTCTGTATTATAGAATAGAAACAAACACTTCCTGTGGTGTTTACTCTACTTTACAATATTAGAATGTATTCATTTGGCTAATAGTTGCCTAATTAACTGCTTGTGTTTGGAGTCCATTAAACTGTTTGTGTGCATGTATGTGTAGGATGCCTCACCCTGGATGATAGCCAGGAGGATTACAATGACAAAGAAGAAGAAAGTGATGTCAAAGATGATCCGGTAGATTTCGTACTCATCACCAGCTGGATCCTCGATCTGGTCACCAATTCCTCCACCTGCTCGCACTCCCACATACATGTGGAACATGTAACACTGAGGAACAGAGAGAGAGATACACAGGAAGGGGGGTACAGGGGTAACAGAGGTCAAATCTTTTGCATTGGGTTTTTAATGGGCAGAACCATGACTGTCACAAACAGCTTGAACACACAAATGTTTCTAAAACATCAGAAGACATGACATCTGTAAGTCTCTTTGCAGTAAAACAGGCATGATTCTAGTCGCTGTAGAGCTCCAGTAACGTTTTGAAAAATCATTGTTAGTGAATGCAGTTCACAGTGCCCTCAACTCTGCAGGTTACAAAGAAGCCATATGTGAATATGATCTAGAAACGCTGCTGTCTACCTTCTGCGGACCAAAGCTCATTAAACCAGGGACCGAGGGAAAGTATAAAGCATGTTCTATGGTTGGACAAATAAATATTTTAAATTCTTTTTGGATGATGCATCCTCCAGACTACAGAGGAAACCAAATCAATGCTGAAAGGTATGTTCAGTTTTTAGGAGAGCATATGCTTCCATCCAGATTTCTTCATGAAGGCGTTGCAAAACAATGCGAAACCACAAAAAAATGTTTTGTTCTATCTTAGCAAGGCAGAGCTATTAATGCATCAGTAACAACACAGCGCAATGTTTGTGTTAAAAGCACCGCAGCACATTCGCAGACAGAACCTGCCCGGTGCTATGCATATGGCTTATGTAGCGAGTCATAAATAAACAGCTGTAGCAGCACAGATTACAGGTTTTACAGTTTTACTAATGTTTATATACAGTGGTTCCATGTTGGATGGTTAAGTTGGGCTGATTAAGGCTGTTGGTTGATGCGATGTTCAGAGCTGGAAATCTGACTTGAGGGGACACTGAAAAATTCAGGAAATTCCGACTTCTGCTTTCACATGGAACGCATCATCTGACCATTTTTTGCTACTATAAGCCTTATTGTAAGGAAGGAGACCAATCTTGCTAGGGCAGTGCCGTTCATTAGTGCATCTCACCATCCCACTAAGCGGCTGTCACCTTCTTGAACTACAGACAGGCAGAGCTGCAACACTTAGCCCCTAATAGGAGACAAAAGAGCTCTATGGAATGCAATGGGTGGCTGACTATAGGGGATTAGTGTGTGTTTGTGTGTCCTGAAATTTCCGGGTGACAGAAGGCTTCCTTCTACCCTCAGAAAATACCATAGAGCCCTTATATAGTATTTCTTTCAGATGGCTTAGCAGCAGAAAACATTCTTATCTAAGCTGAGTCTGTTTGTACTTGGCATGTCTCTCATCACTGGTCTAATGTTTGGCTTTGCGATACACTTATCTTTCACCCCGACTCACACTGACCTGCATTAATGACACAGGTGCTTATGTATAGGTAATGGCTTACACTTCCAACATTTAAATTCATCATAATTGTTCCATTTCTGTTTCATGGCCACATCTTTGGTTAGACTTTACTATGTCACAAAGTTGTCTCTTTTAAACTGGCTAAACAATGGAAGCTTGTGCTGCATAGGTAAGGTAGGTAGGCACCGCTATCATGAAACTGGTATATCAGCTGATTCTGATACTCCAAATGCCCTTATCCAGCTCACCAATTTTGGATAGACTTCCTGGAGCCAAATAAGGTAACCCCCAAAGACAGTCTTAAATTGAGCTTAAATCACAGTAAAGGCTCAGGTTAGTAACATATAATTATTTATATTACTTGCACTGTTGCTATTCCCAAAAACGTAATAGATGCCTGAAAAAGAAGCGGACAAAATAAGTAATCTTCTTACTGCCTGAGGGTAACACTGCCGAGACTAAAACTACTGACTCAAAGCTCTCTGTCCATAAATGGAAGTGTGTGCTCTTTACAGACAGCAAAAAATGAAGTTTTAGTGAGACAAACTTGATGGGAGCAACTTCCCACAGCCAAGAAAGTGAACTGCAGCAGTGCATACCAGACATCCCAGTATTAGCTTTGGGTACAAAAAAGTATTTGAGTCATCCTGAGAAGCCTCACAGGTGTTCTATGTTTCTTTCATTTATGAGTAATGGCTCTCACCCATCATTCGGTGGAATCCTAAAAGCCTTAGACATGGCTTTGTAACCTTCTATGATAGACGACAGATTGACAGATGATACTAGATGACAGACAGACTGATAGAGGTCAGTTACTTTGTTTCTCATCTCTTTCTGAGTTTCTTTATATTCTGGCTCATCAAACTAAAGGGCCCATACAAACGGGACCCCCTCAAACTGACTTTTAGTTTTAGTCACCTTGTTTTCCAGCAAATTAACTGTTCTGTCACTAGTTATAAACTAGGAAATTAGCATAAACTAATGTAAGTGCATCCAACCTAATGACATCCTGCTCTGAACAGGCACAGGATGGTGCTAAACATGTTCTAAAACCTTTCAATTTAAACATTTTTAATTAAATCCAGTTTCACAGACAGTGTTAAATCTAGGACCGATTCTGAGAGCAGGGCTCCATGATGTAAGTTAGTATTTATATATGTAATGTTTCCATTTTAAGGCCGACTCTATAGCCCTGTTCTTTCATTTTAGATAACTTAAAGAACAGGGCTATAGACAACCATGAACAATTACTCTCTGGATGTTAGGGACCAAATCAGCCGCTGTAAACTGGCAGGACTTTAATGCCACCACAGCAGATTGCGTCACAGTTTTGCAGCTGGGTGCGGTGATGGATAGGATGTTACATCACTTCATCCCTCACGACAACAACACATCTGAGATGCACACTGACATTTCAGAGAGTAAGCTGAATGTTTATTCTTTAACCTGTCGCATTACAAGGCTTGAAAATTCTGTTTTCTGTGTTATCTGTCTTTATCTGTATCGCTAATGCACACGCAGACTTATATAAACACCAACGTGATAAACTCAAACCGCTCTTTTGTATTTCTGAACAGATTGCAAGTGTTTCCTGTTGGGTTGTTACTGTCAGAACCATGAAGACCGCCTCACCCTAGAGGAAGTTCAGAATCATCCCTGGCTCAAATGACTTATTGATGCCAAGCAAAACAGGTTTACAGAGCAGAAGCTCTAACAGAGAAGAATTTGGTCACATTCAAAAGCTATGGCACATTGCTGTCCATGTTCTTCATTTCTATCTTTTTTACAGGGCCCGCCCCTATGGAAGCACCGCACAAGAGCAAGTGGACCATGAGATCACAGTGGAACTTCCATTCAGTCTTTAGTCTTGCTCCCATTGTACTTTCCAACATGGAAAATACCCCACCCACCCCCAGCAATCCGTGGAAAGGGGATCTCTCTCTGAATTGCCTTTCCCGAGGTTTCTTCTCAAGTTTTTGAGGAGTTCGTCTTCTTAGAGAGCTTGTGCTGCGTTAAAAACTGTTGCTACTATCAACCTGAGTTATGAATACAGTTGTGGTCTAATGTTTTGTCAGTGGTACAAAGTTTGCGTTTGCGCACTTTGCCACTTCAGCCTGTATTTAGAGCCACAACTGTATACACAACAGACCGAACATGCTCAGCTTTGCCAAAGCTCGCAGGAATTGTAGTTTAATTTGATCAATTAATTATTTCTGAATCAACTTAACAAAAAATGGGCAAATGTAAAGAAATGTATCAATCAGGGAATTAGTAGCAACATTAATTGGACAATCTAAATTTGTTGGTTAATTATTAAATGAATCTGGATAACTCATCCTGCATCTCCTGTGTGTTTATGTCATTGATATTGATTTATTAATGATCATTTGTTTGTACTAATGCGTCACAATTTCCTTGAACGTTAAAGGGTCTGGATTTCTTCTCTTAGGTGCCTCAGTGTGATCATCCTGTCCTGTCATACTAAGAAATGTGAGTTTTTCATTGCTTCACCTGCACAAAATACCTAGGCACAAAAAATGGTCCAGCTCTCTCACGCTGTCCTGTTGTATAAGGCGCACAACATTCACCGTGATGAGAGGATAACTTTTGTCACTGCTCCTGTCCTTGATCCTCTGAGCCACTTAAACACCAAACTACTTGTGCGCTGTGTGGGCTTTTCTAATGGTCGTGCTAAGGAGTCCTTTCCCTCCCATCAGTTGCAGAATGCACTCAGAGTTGTACAACACTGGTGTAAATGTCAAGATGATGCAATTTTGAACATATTTAGGTCAAAAGACTTTTGACTAAAGTAAGAAGAAAAGTGAATCTAACAAATAACATGAATTGGTGTTAAATAGTTACTAGTTACTAGACAGTAACTAGCCCAGGGGATGCTAATCAACTGCCAAGGAATATTAGTGACTAACTTATTGATGCTAGTTAATAGCTTAGGTATTCTATGTGGTAACCTGGTAAGTAATCACTTGCCTTAAAAGTCTCGCCAGTCCTCTAGGGACACTTGTTGGTGGTATTTATTTGTTCATGTTACAGGCCTTGCTGTAGTGGGCGTGACCACAGATTACAATCCTGTAAAACAGGAGAGATAATGAACAGAGGAAATCTGTTCTTGTTCAGTTTCCCTTCCAGGTGAGGTGACTCTGGGTTGCTCTGACATATAATATGTGTATTTGTTTTCTGGGCTCTCTCTGGATTCCTCTGCGGCTGATATGTTGCTCTCAGATTCACTGTTTGATGCTGAGCTTGTGGTGATACTCTAAGACAGTACTGTACTCTGGCTGTATCAGAGTTTTCACAGTCACTGCTTTCAGGCGTCTCCATCCAGTCACGTCTCCCAACACGATGACTTCTTTTCTTTTGGTTCCCTCTACGTGGAAGTGGTCCCCCAGTGGTCAACAGGTAGGTCTTTCACGAGGTGTAGGAGATTTCTATGAAGTAAACACATTACGTCTCTGAACACATTTTGTAAATGGGACTGTCACTCACTTGTTGTTTGACGACATACACAGTTTGCTCCCAGTAAGGTCTCAATTTTCCAGGTCCTCCCCTCTCACTCATGTTACAGACTAGGACACTGCCTCACCAGGTTGGAGAGTGACTGTGTTCTGTGTGTGATGATCATAGTTCTTCTACCCCTTGCACTAGAGTGCTGGCTGTTCTCAGCTGCAGTACGATAAGCCTCTTCCATCCACAAAGCCCACTTTTTAGCATAGCTCTGAGGTGTTTCAGTCCCATCTCTGTCTAACAGGCCAAAAATTAAGTCTACTAGGAGATGGGGGTGTCGACTAAACAGTGGGATGAAAAGCCTGTTGCCTCATGCCTGGTGCAGTTGTATGCATGTACTATCTGAGGCAGATGCTCTTTCCAGCTGCTCTTTGCCTGCAGATGCTCTTAAGAGTGGCTTCTCCTTAAGCACTAGGAAACGATATTGTGCTGGCAGCACAAGCTGCCTTCGCTGAGCCGCTGTACGATGTTGCAGCTGATTTTCCATATGAAGCTTTCCCCACTCGTTCATAAGCTTTCTCACAGGGCCACTGGCTCTCCTTCTGCCATCATTAGTTATTACTGATTTTGTTTCTTTCAGTTTGATAAGTACTGATAGAGGGATCCTTCCTTTGGGATTTTACCAGGTCACTGTGACAGGCTGCAATGGTGACATGTTCACAAGGCAGCGACATATGCAGCATCTTGTCTCTTTGCAGACTCACAACCCTCCCATGTAGCCTGAATGGCCTCTCTCGTCAGCTCTTCAGTACACTTTGTGAAGTAGGTGTCAATGTCAAGTGGAAACCGAGAGAATGAGTCTCGGTTCACCTTCCCCAGCATGACATTTGACATCAAACCTGAAATGTGCCAGCTCACCTACCCAGCGGTGACCTACTGCATTCGCCTTTGCAGTACTCATCACTTATGTGAGGGGATTATTGTCTGTATAGACCAGGGGTCACATGTGGCTCTTTCATCCTTATACTGCAGCTCCGCGTAGCTTGGGACAATAAATGATAAGTATTTAATTGAAGTGTATTTTATTTGCGGTAGTCCATCCATCCATCCATCTTCATCCGCTTATCCGAGGTCGGGTCGCGGGGGCAGCAGCCTAAGCAAAGAGGCCCAGACCTCCCTCTCCCCAGCCACCTCCTCCAGCTTATCCGGGGGAATACCAAGGCGTTCCCAGGCCAGCCGAGAGATATAATCTCTCCAGCGTGTCCTGGGTCTGCCCCGGGGCCTCCTCCCGGTGGGACATGCCTGGAACACCTCACCCAGGAGGCGCCCAGGGGGCATCCTTGTCAGATGCCCGAACCACCTCAGCTGGCTCCTTTCGATGTGGAGCAGCAGCTGGCTCTACTCTGAGCCCCTCCCGGATGGCCGAACTTCTCACCCTATCTCTAAGGGAGAGGCCAGCCACCCTTCGGAGGAAGCTCATTTCCGCCGCTTGTATCCGCGATCTCGTTCTTTCGGTCACTACCCACAGCTCGTGGCCATAGGTGAGGGTAGGGACGTAGATCGACCGGTAAATTGAGAGCTTCGCTTTTACACTCAGCTCCCTCTTCACCACGACTGACCGGTGCAGCGTCCGCATTACTGCAGCCGCAGCCCCAATCCGTCTGTCGATCTCCGGCTCCCTTCTCCCATCACTCGCGAACAAGACCCCGAGATACTTGAACTCCTCCACTTGGGGCAGGAACTCATCCCCGACCCGGAGTGGGCACTCCACCCTTTTCCGGCTGAGAACCATGGCCTCAGATTTGGAGGTGCTGATCCTCATTCCCGCTGCTTCACACTCGGCTGCGAACCGTTCCAGTGCGAGCTGGAGGCCCTCACCCGATGAAGCCAACAGAACCACATCATCTCGCAAAAATCAGAGATGAGATTCTGAGGCCACCAAAGCGAAAGCCCTCCGCCACTTGGCTGCGCCTAGAAATCCTGTCCATAAAAATTTATGAACAGAACCGGAGACAAAGGGCAGGTAGTTCTTTTTTAAATTGTAGTTCTAAACTGGAAGATTATTGTGATCTTGAAATATTAAAATAAAGTTATATTGAAGTTATATATCAAAATATGCGTCACATAACGTGGAAGCCGGTGTACCCGCCAAAACGCCGTGCATTTATCGAGACTTTCAACCCCGGGTAGGCCAAGTATGGAGAAATG